GGGCTCGGCTGAACCTTGCATGGTTGGACCTTGGGGTGAATTTCCTGGGATGTTCAGTTCTGGGAAGATTGGAAGTTATATTGAATGTTTTCCACTTCCAGAAATATATTTTCTATGAACTAGTGGTCCTTAAAGCTTAATTCCTAAAATTCTTTGGCAATGAATAGTCACTCTAACATTTATTTATTAAACTGGTCAGTTTACGCATGTGAGCCATTTATGACTGACGTTTTCTTGTTGCGAAGAAGCCACCCACTCAACACATCACTGAAATAACAGCAGAACCACGGCGCTACGTGCTCACTGATGAGCGCAGTTTTTAATTTGCAGATAGATGTACTGTCTCCAATTGATTAATCCCATTCCTCACGGAAGATCAGGAATGATGAGAGTTGATTTAATCCATCCAGTGAATGACGATAGAAGCGGATCATGTATTCTTCACTGACAGCCTACTTTCAAACGTCTTCAACCTAGAAACACAATTAATGAGGCTCCAAATGAGGATTTACTCCCACACAGATGTTCCTACTCTGATGATTGCAAGTCAAACTGGATCAGCATCCACATTGGCGGTGCCCAGTGAATTTCAAGTCACCTGTGTTGTAATGTTGGCATTACCTAAGGGAACTCGGCATGTGTTTGTGCGAGTTAGTGAGCTGAGCAGGTGGTCATGGGGGAAAGGACGTTGGTCTGTGCTCGAAGGACGACATGAATGCACCTGGGTCTCAGCAGGCGAGTGTTTAAAAAGGAACCAAGAGGAATCTGAAATCTTAAAGCTTAAACTTCTACAATGCCCATGGTATCAGGCTAAATAAAGCATGTATGCAACCAATCACAGCTGTTTACACACTTCAAAATATTAATCGTGTTTCTCCTTTGCTACTTAGAAGAGAATCAAGCATTCTTAGAAAAACTTAACCTATTTACACTGTTTGCTTATCGCAGAGTGGGATGGGGTGAGGCAGAGCAAGAGGTGAAAAACCTATTAATTTAAGAGGTAAAGGCCTGACGAATTAGTCTGGCACAATTACTATTTAGTGTAATTGCCTTTCCATAGCAACCCCGCTAAGGAGGCCACAGGTAATTTAGTTCAGAAACCTGTTGAGGGGAATGACTACTACACTTGACTCATCCCCATGGAAACCACGCCCTGCTTGACTGACAGATTCGACGCAACAAATCAAGAGACAAGAACGGAAGATTAAATTGGCAATTACTGCGCAAGAAGACACTTAATTACCCGTGTGACAGTTATCGTAAACAAAGACTGAATTAACTGGAGGTAAAGAACTCTTCCTGCAATTTCCCCACAGACAGAGGGGTAAAAAATATTCATGCAGAGGCACAGAGAAACACAACAGATTCTGACACATCATTAAAAAAAAAAACACTTACATGCTAAGTTAGAATCTAGGGATACAATTTTGAAGAGAATTCCCAAAATGATGCTAAGAACTCAGAGAGCGTCTATTATAACCACTTTACAGAGGGTGTAAAACAGTACTGTGCAAAATATTTGGGAAAATGAATTAATGTGGCATGTTTTCAAATTATTGCAATGGATATTTCTTATTTAACTTGCTGCATAGAAAGTGCATGACCTGCACTTTTAGCAGGAAAAAAATCTCTGGCAGAACCAGGCTTAGGAAGGCCAGCCATCTGCCACAATCAGTTGAGGATGAAAGGAGGAAGACAGCCCATATGTTTGTGTGTACTGCTATTTATTAGCTAAAATCATGGCGTTGTGACATAAACAATAAATTGAATGAATGCATGTGTATATCCAAGGTTGCGTCTTGTCTCTTCCTGTGTTGACTTTCAGAAAAAGCAGAGGTGACCAGAGGTAATAAAAGCAACAAATACTGTCAAGATCTGGCTGAGAAACTGCAGGATGTAAGGGCACACCTATACATTAGCATCTTGGCAATCATACTAGTAATACGCATGCTGGCACGAATGACCTGCTTTATTACCTGTTTTACTTTACATTTACTCAATGAATATCACATCATGTTGTGGAAGCTTTTAAACTAGTGATTGGAACTATAAACTCATTACGAGATACTTACTGAACACAAATCAAATGAGCAGTAAGGTGATTTTCTCATAGACTTCCACATAACCAGGATTTATGTAACAGAAGAGTTGCCCCCTGCCGGCCATTAGTAAAAATGCAGGTTTAAAGCATTTTCAAAGTGGCTTCATGTTACAGACCAGGGGCTATTTCTACCTTTCACACACAGTTTATGGTTTTGTAACTATACTGGCCTTCTGGCTTTGAGGCTAACCACCACACCATTGTGCTGCCCAAGACTGAAGAGGAAAATGCTAAATCATAACATAAGTATTTCAATTTCAGTTTGTTTATTTATTTAAAAGGTACAGTGCAGTTCACTTCCAATACAGAGCATGAAAATGATTTTCACTTGTTCCACTTTTACATCCACAATGCACAAACAAGATTTACAGTGTTCAATTACATATTAATTATATTTATATAATTTTAAATTATATATAATTTATGAGTAAATGATCAACATAATGGTCCTCCTTATCTAGCATGTGACAATTTACTCTCACCAAATCTAATGGTTGGAATGTCCTATAATGGGAGAGTCCAATTTAATGTAGACCTATTACTACACAAACATACAGTATTATTAGTATGATGTTATGTTTATGGATATCTAGTGAGATCTATAGTTCCCTAGTTTACCATTTTAGTTATTCATTAATAATCTGATTACTAAATTATTTTCTAACATCCTCAACCCAAGACTTTCAGTGTGGCAGGCCAGTCTTTTTCCATGAATCCTCTCCTGATTACCAAAAGAATCTGAAGAGCTTTTTTCTGTTCTTACTTGAAGAAAACAGAGTAATGTGTAAGAGGAATGGGAAAAAACAAAATCAGAATTTCATGAATCTAAGGCATAGATGTGTGTGTTTCCTCTCTTTTGTGGTAGAAACAGTGGGAAATTGACTTCATAGATGCTGTGCTTCGATCTCCTCCTGTGTCGACAGACTCGGGAGGGGGATGGCGAGTGAGGTGAGAAAAATGGATTTTGCTTTTTCGTAAGACACTGTGATAACAGAGACAAAGGTATTGTATAGCTAATGATTGTTTGGCTAGCACGTGTTTAAACACAAGCAGCTACACACACCCACACACTCATTCATAAATATATGAACACTGATGGAGTTCATATGAGTTTAAACAAATACACAATGTAGCCAGGGATAGAGACAAATTAGTGTTACTAGTGTTGCTGTTATTGATTCAACCTAGCAATGAGGCACTTATAAATACTAGGATACCATGAAAGCTATAAGTCAATGATAAAGGACAGTAGGGTTTCCACAATTTGTTTTTCAGTAACAATGAAAAGTAACAGGAGGCCCAGAATATAAAATATCTAAAATTATAGCTGTCAAGACAGGACAGAGCCTAAGGTTTGCTGTAGACTCACTCTTGTCCTTTCTCTTGAGTGAGAGTTTCCACAAAACTGTAGCCCTTTATTCTCTTAAAGTCAGGTAAATTATACACACACAAAAAGAAAATCCATTGACTTTACACTGTTTGTGTTTATATAGCACTTAATAAAAGTGCCTAATAATAATAAAAGCAACAAATATGCATTTTTAAAGTTCAGATTTGAAAGAGATTACAGAGTTTGCCCACCTGAGATCTGCCTCCAGAATATTCCACATCTGTGGGGCCTGAACTTCAAATGCTCCAAGACTTTTAGTTGGGACCAGTGCAGGTTCATGTCAGCATCTCACAGATATAGGCTGGAGTC